TTCATCCACATTGTCTGTGCCACGGCGTGTCTCCTGTGTGACAAGACCATCGCCCACCAACGCCGGCGACAAGTGAGGAAGCTGCCCTGGACCTTCTTCCCTTAGAGTGGATCACTGCTTTCCAGAACCTTCCCCAGTGCCGCCGCCATAGGAAATATCTGTTCATTGTTTGATTCCATTAATTGTTTGACTCCCGTATTTGTTCAACTCCCTTAATTGTTTGACTCCCTTAATTGTTTGACACCATTAATTGTTTGACTGCAATTGTTTCATTCTCTAAATTGGTTGAATCCATTAATCGTTGACTCTAGTAATTGTTTGACTCCCGTTAATTGTTTGACTCCCGTTAATTATTTGATTCCCTTAGCTGTTGACTCCATTAATTGTTTGATTCCTTTAATTGTTTGACTCCATTAATTGTTGACTCCCTTGTTTTGACTCCCGCAATTGTTATTTGATGTTTGTGTGAGTGGTGTCAGAGTTTTGTGTTATTTTCATAGTAAAGAGATGTCAATCTCTAACGGTTGTTTGTTATCCCTCGGAAAACCATGGTTCTTGACTTTCCTTTTATAAGATCCTGATTAGGCAAGGTTTCTATCCCTAAGTCCCAGACCTCTTATCATCAGGAGTCTCAAGGAGCTTTAGAAAGGTTCCATCAAACTCTCAAAAACATGTAACGAAGTACTGTAATAGTGTTGACTGGGAGGTGTTCACTTTTTGTTATATGCTATTAGGAGCAGCAAGCAAGAATCTTTTGGGTTTTCTCCATATGAGTCAGTGTTCGGCCATGAGGTTAGGGGGACTGAAGGTATTGAAAGATTCATGGTTAGATGATAAACCTCAGAAATCCTTGTTAATCTATGTTAAGAAGTTTAAAGACAGAATTAAGAAAGCATGACAATTAGCTAGGTCTAACAGAAATGCTCAGAGTAATATGAAAGACAAATTTGACAGAAATTCTATTTGAGAGTTCAAGCCAGGTGATAGAGTTCTAGCATTTCTTCCTGTTTATAAGAGTCTATTACAGTCTAAATTTTATGGCCCTTATGTTTTTAAAAGTAAAGTTAATGATGTAAATTACATCATAAAACACATGAACGTAGAAAACCAGAGAGACTACAGTGAAGAGCATATAGAGTTTCAAGAGATTTAAGTACATAATGGAATGAAGTTGCAAAATTCTGACATACTGTCTAATCCATTTAAAATATTACAGCATCTATCATCCGATCAAGCTAAGGATGTGAGGTGCCTTCTCCAGGACTTCCCACAGCCATTTGGGGACATTCCACAGCGGTGCCGACTGGTGCAGCATGATGTTGAACTGGCGGAGGGCGCCAAACCAATCATGCAGGCAGCCTATCGGATGAATCCAGCTAAGCGAGATTTTTATGAGCAAGAAGTAAAGTTCCTTCTCGCCCACAACTTGTCCCGAAACCTGATGGGAGTTCAAGAATGTGCACGGACTACTGCAGAGTGAAAAGGATCACATGAACAGATTCATACCCATTACCAAGAATATACGACATAATAGACAATTTGGGAAAAGCGGAGTTCTTGACGAAAATCGACCTTCTAAAAGGCTATTATCAGGTGGAGTTAACGGAGCGAGCAAAGAACGTCTCGGCGTTCGTCACTCTGGCGGCCTTTACCAAATACATAGTCATGGCCTTTGGACTAAAAAAAGTACTTTCCAGTGACTCATCCACCAGGGTACATGTAGTCTAGAGAAGAGTGCAGTCTTACCTTGATGACCTCATTGTATACAGCAGCACCTGGGAGAAACACTTGTCACGACTACGCTTTTTCGTCAGTCTTGCTGATGCATCTCTGATCCCTATCAAAGTTGAATTCCGGCCATAACTAGTCTACCTAGGTCACATTGTCGGGATTGGTGAGGTCAGTCCAGTTGCAGCTAAGGTAAGAAGCCATCAACAATCCACCGATTCCTGAGACCCGAAACGAGGTCACGAGGTTTCTGGGTATAGCTGGATACTACAGACGGTACTGCCCAAACTTCTCTCAAGTTGCAACAAAACTAATTGACCTTGTGAGCCCAAAGAAAAAATTAAGCTGGACACCTGTTTGTCAAGAAGCCTTCAACAAGATACGCATTCTGTTCCCCAATGCACCAGTTCTCTGAGCACCAGACTTCAGACATTCATCCTTCAAGTAGATGCCAGCGACTTAAGGGCTGGAGCTGTATTACTCCAAGAGGGACCAGACGAGATTCTACATCTGGTATGTTATTCTTCAACCAAGTTCAAGAACCAATAGAACTAGGCTACAATAGAAAAAGAATGTACTGCATTGCTGTATGGACTAGGTAAGTTTAATGTGTACCTCAGTAGTTCAGTTGATCCTAATATTGTTTATACTGATCATAACCCCCGAAAGTTTATAAATAAAATGTAGAATAAGAATCAAAGATTAATGAGGTGGTCTCTTGCCTTACAGTAGTATTAGTAGTCATAAAACATATAAAGGGAAAATATAATGTAATTGTTGATTTGTTGTAAAGAGTGTGAATGAATTCTTTCCTTGTTATTTACTGTAGCATCCTAAAAAATCTCTTAAGGGGGGAGATGTTACGTGCAACGTATCATGTTAAAACTACCCTTCACAACCAATTACTAATCAAACTTGTTTCAACCAGAATTGAACTCTATAAACCTTAGTGATGGTCAGTACAAAACTGATCATATGTTACACTTTCGTGTAATTCACATCTTCAGGGGTGAGTACAGACTAAGGAGAAATACTTGAGAAGGCTAATATATACAGTAGAAGAGAGGCAGATCAAGTCCCTAGGGGACAGCAGGGGACCACAATGTTCCGATGGCAGTGACCCTTACTAATCTTCTTAATAAAAGAAATTGACCATGCTATCTCTAAGCACAGCAGCTGTATGTAGTCAGGTCATAGGGTAAGATGACTTAGGCCAGATGGGTAAAGATCTTATAAATAGACTTAAACAGCATAAATATAGTGTTAGGACAGGCCAGGAATCCAATGCTCTGTTCATACATACAGAGAGATAATAAGCATTGTATTGACTGGGATAATGCCTCCTCAATATTACCTTGTAACTTTATTATTGTCAGTAGGAACATTATAGAATCCGTCCATTAAACATACCGAATCTGTCAACATGAATTTGAGTAATGGTATGTACAAACTGGATAATTTTGTGATTAAGAAGATTTGTAACCAGGTGAGAAATATACTGTATGTATATTTGATGTTACAGTTATCGTTAGTTTTGTTACGTGTCTTTAGTTAGAATAATAAAAAACTCTCGAAACATTTTACATGTTCGGTTAAATCAATTCACATATGTTTGATCTAGAGTGGAAGATATGACGCTAGATGTCGAAACTTAAGAACATTCCTCCAGACACCCTTAGAACACATTTTCTCTTGTGATCGTACAAGTATCATCACAATAAATGTTTTCCCGTTCTTTATTTTACGTTCATTAACAAAATGATAAAACACGCCCTTTGCTTTACCAAATTTATTGGGTGCCCTGCCACTAAAGTCCAGATATATTGCACAAAATTATAGCAGGAAAAGGTACTAAACCCCTTTGGTATACAGTATAAAACTATTATTGTAATACCTGAACATCACCTACAAACTCCTCTATGGTCAAAAGTATTTGGTAGTTTAAAAGAATTTAAAGTATCGTAACACAATGGTTTACCCCGTGTTTCCTCTATATGGAAGATCAAAGCCTTTGTAACAGCTTCCTAATGATGAGCTCCGTGTTAAATAATTCACATCAGACGATAACAAGTTACCCCTGAAGGGTAGAAAAGGGAATAATGACACACGAAAATATGATGGCATATACAGGAAGTGGTTCTTAAAGTGAAGTGAGGTGTGATACAAAGTTCCATGATAAACAATCGATAACATGAGTGCCTGAAAACAAAAGAACTTAGTAGTAGTCGTAGTAGTAGTAGTAGTGGTAGTAGTAGTGGCAGCTTCACTCCTCTGGTGTTCACAACCTCTGGCGGGGTGGGACCAAGTGCAAGATGCTTCCACGCCAGACTCGCGGAGGTGGTATCTGAACGGAAGCAGCAGCCCAGAAGTTATGTTACAGCCTGGATGCGATGTCGACTGTCCTTCTCTCTGCTTAGGTCTGCAGTGCTTTGCCTCCAGGAACGAGAGCATCGGCCCCAAAGCCGACAACAGTCGCGAATATCGACTATGAGGCAACAGTCACTGAATGCCGCATAGATCTTCGGCTCACCTAACTCAACACAGCTAGGGTAGCTACTTATGTATTGGGATAGTTAATTTTAAGGTAATAAAATGGCGGCGAAGGTGTGGCTATTGGGAGCTGGAAGTCACGTTTGAAAAAAAATGTAGTAGTAATAGAAATAAGAGGAGATGGGGTGTAATGCAGGAGATCGTATTTGAATGAGTGTTTGCTTGTGGTTGCTGAGAAGAGAATTCTAACATATAGTGAATGATGTTGAGTGGTTGGGGTAGTTTGTCCGAGATCAATTCAGATAATTCGTATATTTTCAAAAGATTTTAGTTAAATTTCTGTTTTAGGTTGAAGATTATGCAATGCGTCTTAATTGTATTGGCCCTAAGACACTTAAAAATAACTCCTAAGATGCACTGAAACTGCTTGGTAACTGTATACAGTATACTCTTACGTTATTATTTATAAGAAAACACTCAACTAACCAAGTTTTAGGGATTCGAGAACTAAATCAAGTTTAAGAAAATAAAAAATGCAAGTTGAAGAAGCCTTATGTCTTATGGCTACGATTATTTTGAAGTCGAAGGCTCAGAAGTTCAAGACAGAGAACAGACAAACTAACAACGTGTCCAGCAGCAATGATCACGAACATTCCCTGTAGTGTAAGAAGATGACGTTATTAGTGCCAGACATGCGATATAAATACGGTCAATTTTAACCGAAATTTGGACACAATAGTGACCAAGTGCTTTACACTATTTGTTTTTTACTCATAGTTAGTTCATGACATGGCATGGGGGGGACTGTGTACATTATAAGTTACACTGCTTGAACTGACGGTATTCAAGGATAACTTACCCATATATAAGAGAGTTGTCTTGACAGTGACCTTGGTAGGAACGCGGTGACACACAGTTGAGTTTGAGTCTTCACTTTTAATCCAGTGGAAAAATAACCCAGCTTCCGTTATTGACGTTATTCTGTTGGACAAAATATATCAATGATCATAAGCAGCTGAACTGGTATTACTGTGTGTTATAAAATTTTACTCTAATTTTTCTTCTAATGCATGAAAACTGAAGACGCAAATAATTTAATATCTTCAACAAGAATAACAATAACTTCAGCACAAGTACTACAACTATACACGTTACTATAACTAATGACATTAAACATATTCATAGTAACTATTGTAATAATAATAAAAATAATAACAATAATGGTAATAATAATAATAATAATAATAATAATAATAATAATAGTAATAATAATAATAATAAACATTTAGTTAATAATAATAATAATAATAATAATACTAATATAATAATACTAATAATGATAATGATAATGATAATGATAATAAATAATAATAATAATAATAATAAATAAAATAAAAATGATATGATGATATGATGATTATGTATGAAGTGATGATAATGTGTAATAATAATAATAATATGTGTGTGATGTGTGTGTAAAATGTGTGTGTGTGTGTACTAATTATATGGTAATGTGTGTGTGTGTGTGTGTGTGTGTGTGTGTGTGTGTGGTGGTGTGTGTGTGTGTGGTGTGTGTGTGTGTGTGGTGTGTGTGTGTGTGGTGTGTGTGTGTGTGTGTGTGTGTGGTGTGTGGATGGTGTGGGTAATAATAATAATAATGTGTGTGTGTGTGTGTAAATGTGTGTGTGTGAAGTATGTGTGTGTGTGTGTGTGTGTGGTAATAATAATATGCACACACAAATACTACTACTACTACTAATATGTGTATAATAATAATAATATGTAAATATGTATATGTATGTATATATATATGTATGTATATGTATATATATGTAGTAATAATAATGTGTATATGTGTATATATATGTGTATATGTGTGTGTGTGTGTATATATGTGTGTGTGTAAGTTTGTGTGTAAATATTGTTATTAAAATATCTTCTCTATAGTATTTTAATGTTCAGTCATGTATTCAAGCCACTGACCTAAAAGATTACAAATTAACAACAAACAAACATTGATGGTACCTCTTACTCAAAGCTGGCACAAGTGGACTTAGGCCCACCATGGCAAATATTAAAGGCAGGAATTCTTCTTTTGACTCATAAAATGAACATTCTCCTGCAAGGAAAATATATATATATATATATATATATATATATATATATATATATATATATATATATATATATATATATATATATATATATATATGTATATAGAGAGAGTAATAATATTAACAATAATAATAGTAATTAACGGTTTATTGAAGAGCATAGCAGTCAGGCTAAAATACTAGTCACATAACTGGGGGAATGGATCACTTGATTGACAAATAATATACGAGTAACATATGTGATCCAAATATGAAATATAATAACTAGGTGAGGGAAGGTTATACTACAGGGCATTTCAACATAGTGACAGTGCAAAAAACTTAAGATTGACTAAAGTGAATACACTGGTTGATTACGAGTTGTTGAAGATTGTAATTATAATTATAATTTTTATAATAGTTGGGACTGGGCTGTTCTTATAGCGATCAGTATGTGCTCGTATGGGCTGGATGTGGTTATGGTTTCGAAAAGCAATTCGCGGACGAGGAATCTCGGGTGGAAGTAGGGGCCGGTTTCGAGGATGGTGCAGAAGCTTCTTACCAAACTTGCAGATGAGGTCGTCGTAGTCGAAGCGCTTCTTGATATGTGAAGTAAGAAGGGGAGAGAATAATTATTCATGCCTTCTTTTGAATTTCTAGAATTGCTTACTTTGTGTAGCATTTAGGGAGAAAACCAAGAAGGAGTATAGATGTAGAAGTAAACACTATGAAGAGCTCAGGCGCATGAACTCCGAGGACTTGAGTCAGCAGAAGAGGTGGAACACTAACTGGAGGATTTTCAACTATACTGACGTGTGTTTTCCAATTTAGTTTGTTATCTATAGTGACGAAGAGGAGCTTGTTGGAGTCCATAACCTGGAGTTTGTTGGGCTGCAAATTAATGGAGGGAGGTGGTACAAGGTTAGAGGGGAGGTTGATGTGCTTAAACATGGTCTTGGTATGGTTGATGGTGACATGGTTGTTGGTGGCCCAATATTGGAGATTGTTCAATATATTCTGGAGGCCGGTGTAGTTGGGACCAGGTTGTTAATACTGGTGCCAGTAGTGGAGTCGTCGACACAATTCCAGCTAGCAAAGGTGTCTCTTACGGCATCATTGTTAAACATAAGGAAGCAGAGCGGTCCCATCTTGGCACCTTTTGGAACGCCACAGGTGAGTGACTGAAAAAGTAAAACAGCCCCTCGGAAGCGTACGGCTTGGCGTCGATCACTAAGGAAGTCTGTAAGCCGTGGTATAAGACTTCTCCGAAACTCGAGGTCGATAGCTTTGTTAATGATTAAATTGTGGTGGACTAAGTTAAATGCTTTCGTGAAGTCAATGGAGGCGAGAGCCACATACATCTTTCGTTTTTCCAGATGGTGGTATATGTAGTCGAGAAAGCTGACAAGACAATGAGTGGTGGATGAAGTTTTCATATTGCCAAATTGCTGAGGATCTATGACGCCTGCAATATTCGCATAAGGTCAAACACGAAACTTGACTATAGCGTCAACACCCTATAGTTTTCGAGTTATAACACATGATAGATGGGCTTGGAAGGTGATAAAATCTGCAGAATATAAATTAAATATCCAAAGGTGCTAGAGCAATCCATTTACAACCATATGCAATCTGATATGGATTTTATGGTATATGAGAATTTTTCAACTTAATTTAAATATGGCTTGATATCATATATTTTATGTACGGTTGCTGTCACATAACCGTACCACTGTCTAAGTATTGAAGGCTCGGGTATGAGTTGTGGCACCGTAACGCCCTAGTCATGGCTGAATGAAAGGGTATGAAACAGTGAAATTACCCTGTTTACAATAAGATACAAACAATAAAGGAGGTGAAAAGATATACTAACCCTGAAATTCGTGTTATGCAGTAATGTTAATGTAGCCACGACAGGTTATATAGGATTGAACTACGGGGAACCGGCCAACTGAATAATCAACGTATTCACGCCCATGAATAGGCAAGCTGTACATAGACATGTTGTACTATGTTGTAGTCGTCCAGTACTCCCCTACCCAATTTTGTGGTAGAAATCCGAAACAATGGGTTATTAACACGATGATCATGGACTCATTATCCTTATGTATGTCTGAGATAGCCCTCCCTCTCTTCCCCGATTTGAACACATAGAATTAGAAGGCCTTAGCATATTTCCATATTCTTTTTTGGTGTCTTACATTTTTCTCAAACAAACTTATTGATTTTGAAATTTGTTAACAATTATGAATAAAAGTACAATTCAGTTGACCTAAACACCTCTGTTCTTTGTGTTCACTTTCTTTTAAAATTACATAAGCAAATTATCAAAAAAAATATGGTAATGTTAGCCTAAGCTGATCACTCTGAAATATTTATGAAGTGTTATATTCTTATTAAATTTATCTTTTAATGAATATTGATCACTTCACTGGTATTACTTTAAGATATACAACATAAAAAATCAGTAAGCCAACACCTGTCCAAACCTCACACACCAGTGTTCTCAATATAACAAACCAGTGGACGTTTGCATGTCTGATTTTGTTCACTAGAGTTGACGTCACGAATTGAAAGCCAGTTTGGTCATTAATATATTAATAATTAGAAAAAACAATAGTAGTAAAATCAGATAAAATAATAAGCCAATAAGTGTTTATTTGAAATGGCATATCATAACAATTTAACAATTGCAAGTTCAAAAATTTTTATTCAGGAAGCAACTTGAACTCTCATTTTCTCAGTCACTTTGAATATAACATATGCTAGAACTGCTATTAGTGCTCTTAATGGTGTGGTCGGTGAAGGTTCCAAGTGTTCCCTGAAGAATGCAGTGAGGGGTAGGGAAACAACGGGTGACTAAGTGTGCCATGCACGGCCCACAGAGTCAGACTGAGACTGCCTTGCCATATGGCAGCCTCGGGGCAATGTTGCCACATAACACGTGCAGTGTTGCCCACGTGATGATACGCAGACCTACTTGGCACAGTAGCTTATAAAGGTTGCTACTCGGCACAGTGGCTTAGATACATAACCTACATCTCCCTCCCCACCTCACGCTCATAGTCTTGTCTTGAGCGGACTTCTTAATCCTAAGTCGCTCCGAGCGTCGAGGTGCACTGTGGGACGGATCCTCGTGAGGTGTAGGGGACTCGTCCTCTGTCAGGGGGCCAGCAGCAGGGGGTGGGACTGGCCGGAGGAAGCAGCGGTTCCTCCACCAGACGCGGCCGCTCGGCATCCTGACCTTGTAGTCCAGCGACCGGCCGACGCCCATCACTATGCCCACCTTGTCCCAACGTGTCGTCGTCGGGTCCTGGACGCGGACAAGGGCACCAATCTCCAGTGGCTGAAGAGGGCGGGCACGGTCGTCATACCGAGCCTTGGCGTCCTGGGCACGTGAAGCGGCGCGGCGGTCGCAGCTCTCGGCTCTGGTCTGCCACTCCTTCGCAAAGGCCTTGACGTGTGCAGGAACACAAGAGCGGAGAGGGTGACCATACAGGATCTGGGCAGGGGAGCGTCCTGTGTGGGTGGGAGTGGACGTGGGTTCTGGGCAGCTCTGTGCGGCAGCGGCAGGCGCGTCGCTCGTTGATTCACGCACCCTGCTGGCGGTGTACCGAGCAGCTGGGATCTGCTCAAGAAAGTCTCTGGGCACCACGCCTAACTCCTTGCAGTACTCCCACGACAACAAGAGTGTAGCGAGAGTAGGCTGCACGTCGATCCATCCGTGACACGACTTCTCACCGTAGGTTATGTATCTAAGCTACTGTGCCAAGTAGCAACCTTGTAAATAAGCTACTGTGCCGAGTAGCATTTATATATATATAATTACGTGGCAACACTGCACGTGTTATGTGGCAACATTGCCCAGAGGCTGCCATATGGCAAGGCAGTCTCAGTCTGACTCTGTGGGCCGTGCATGGCACACGCTAGTCACCACTTGTATTTCTCCTCTCCCTTAATAAATGGACTTCAGTGTTACCCGGTGTTTCCCTACCCCTCACTGCATTCTTCAAGGAACACTTGGAACCTTCATGGTGCAGTGAGTAGGATCTGTGGACTTACAAGTGTGTGAACAATGCCGACGGTTACATCTGTCGGCGATGTGCGCGTCGACTTGTGTGTTGTGTTGTGTTGCATTGTGTTTCGCCGCGACGTGCAGTGTTGCGCCGTCACAGTGCTTTTTAGTGACGGTGGCAGTGTTAGTGTCAGTGTATTAGTGTGTCTAGAGCTGAGAGTTGAGCATTGGCCTCTTTTTTGTGGTACCCACGGAGCACGCAGGCGTACACCCTTCTCGTGTGACATCCGGGGAGACACTGACGGTCTTGCCTCCGCGGGCCACCACGCTCTGCTCCCTGAGACACACACACACACACACACACACACACACACACACGCACGCACGCACTCACGGACAGAACAGTGGACTCTATGCATTATTTCTGCACTGTTTATGTCATATATATGTGGTTCGAGCTGATGAGGCGCCACTTTATATACTAAATAGCGCAGTTCAAGCATACTAAGATGGGCGGTAAGAAGGGACAACGTCAAGATGGGAGACACGACTCCCCACCACCTTCTCCTCCACCGGGCACAGATGGCGCTTCTGCGCCCACCGCCCCTCATCCTTCACCTACAGCGACAGACATTGCCACAATTCTGAGGTGGATGGACTTCAGAGACGAGCGACGCAGAGAGATGGAACTTCAGAGGGAGGAGACACGAAGAGAGGAGGAAAGTCGCGTTTTGATGCACTATTGGCGACCCTGGCGCTAACCCACCCTCCCTCACTCGCGCACCAAGGCGCCAGTACCCTCCCTCCTCCACTACACCAGCGTCCTCCAGGTACTCTTGCTACTCCAACAGCTCCCAAGGCATCTGTTCAACCCCCACCTGCCCTCTCACCAGACGTCACGTTTCAGCTTTTTCGTGAGTGGAGGCGGCGGTGGACAGATTACTCCACAATGGTGGACCTTGACAGCATGCCTCCAAACAAACAGCTCATCCAACTGCGGATGTGTTTGTCGCTGGAGACCCAGAGAGTTTTGGAGCACACGTTGCAAGTGCCTCCCGATTCTACATCTTCAGTGACGGATGTGCTCGACCTTTTACAGGAGCACGTTAAAGGTCGGAATAACGAGGCCTTGCGTCGCCGCGCCTTCACCAGCTGCAAGCAGGCGGAGAATGAATCCTTTGACGACTTTTTTGTATGTTTGAAGAGTTTGTCAGAGGAGATCGACGTCTGCAAGGCGCACAGCCGGGAATGTGAGGAAGCCTGGATCAAGCACGGGATCTTGGCAGGTGTCAGGCAAGAAGAGTTGGATGCAGCGACTCATCCCCCTGGACGCTTCCTCCACACTCTCCAGGTGGTAGTGACTGAATGTCGGTCATACGAGGCCACCAAGTCCGCCACCTCTGCCTTACGGGCCCCACGTGCTGTGAGAGCTATCTCACAATACAAGAAGGGTAAGAAGGCGGCCAACAACGTGAAGGCTGCCGCACGTTCTTCCACGCCTCCGCCTAGTGCTTCCTGTGGTAGCTGTGGAAAGCAGCATGGCCCCAAGACTTGCCCGGCCGCCGACGCACTGTGTCGTGGATGTGACCGTCAGGGCCACTGGTCTAACACAGACAGGTGCCCTGCACGAGGCCGCAAGTGTCAGGCCTGCTGTCGCTATGGACACTACGACAAGTGCTGCCGCCAACCCAAGCCCAAAAGCCCGAGACGAGGAGGAAAGCAGCGCACTTCCCTCAGGGTGGTTCGCACGCAGCTCCCTTCAGATGGCCCACGCAGCCCCAAGCAGCAGCTGAGTCACATTAGAAGGGTGGACTCGACCACACGCCCCAGGGCTACCCCTTCCCCTACCATCCGCGTCACCGTCACACACGGTGATGTGTCGGGTCACATCGAGGTGATACCGAACACCGGCGCTGATACTACGGTGATTGGCCTGAAGCACCTCCAGAAACTGGGCCTCACCAAACGCGGCCTGGGACCACCGCCACAGCTGCAGTACTACAATGCGGACGGTTCTCAGATGCCGGACGCTGTGGGCTCCTTTCAAGCGGAGGTCACTTACGGCGACAGGTCGTGTCACGGATGGATCGACGTGCAGCCTACTCTCGCTACACCCTTGTTGTCGTGGGAGCACTGCAAGGAGTTAGGCGTGGTGCCCAGAGACTTTCCCGAGCAGATCCCAGCTGCTCGGTACACCGTCAGCTGGGTGTTTGAATCAACGAGCGATGCGCCTGGCGCTGCTGCACAGAGCTGCCCAGAACCCGCGTCCACTCCCACCCACAGTAGCTTATATACAAGGTTGCTACTCGGCACAGTAGCTTAGATACATAACCTACAGTCGGTAACGTTCCCTAGTCCCACACAGTAGGTCGAGGGTTCGAGTCCTGGCTGGTGAGGTAGTTGATAACACATTCAACATTTTCCCCATATATATATATATATATATATATATATATATATATATATATATATATATATATATATATATATATATATATATATATATATATATATATATATATATATATATATATGGGGAAAATGTTGAATGTCTTATCTAACATACCGAAATGTAACCGAATGATATGTGCCCATACGCTAAATGAAACTTAAGCAAACTGACTATGAACTGTGGGAATATTCCTCTGTTTGTATTATTCAATAAAAGCTTATAAGTCTTCAAAATTGTTTCCTTTCAATATTGACACCTTATATGGTAGGATGTATGTAAGGCAGCACGAAATTGTCTTGAGCCATTAATTTCATTATTTCTGTCAGATCTACCCCATGTTGGCCTAACCATTTGTTGCTGCAGATAAACTTGCATAGAGTATAAATAGAGATGACTAGACGAACTTTAGAGTGGCCAGAAGAAAACTCCTCAACACATGGAGCTCTCACTTCCTAGCCAGGTCATGTTTTATGCCGTCTCACGTATGTCTAGGGCATTCTTATCCACGATGGATTTAGCCCAGTGGATTTGTTTGTTGATCTTTGGGGGCATTCGATTAAATGATTAGCATTGGATGATCTCTCTCAAAGATTGGCTAGCTCAATGAATCTTTGACTGTTTATTCTTGCAACTGTTCGCAGGTGTTCTGGGATGATCTTCCCAACTAATTCGTTTAATACTCTGCAAGATGTATGTGTATGTATATTATGTATGCTGTATTATATATTATGTATGTATATTATGTATGTGCTTCATTTATATATATTATTTATTCAGCGTGTGGCAATGTAATTACCATGTCCCACATGCTTAATTAATGTGCCTGGCGACATATGGAAGCTGTTAATATATCACTTGCCATACGTCGCCTATAGAGCAGTTGACCAGCAGACAGGTTGAGGAGCGCTACTCCCCTTGTGTACATATCTCTTATCCAGTAAATCGAACCTACAAAATTATACAGGTGTTTGTGTTCGCTCCTGTATATAGAACTTATTACCCAGAACACGAACAGTATGCATACTGGCAATGCTATTGTGGAGTGCCAGTTCCTCAAATGCAGACCTGAAAAATTGGTTGTTCCCATTAGGAATTATTCAAGGAGCGCTTCAAGCCCATTGAAAACATGATTTTATGAAGTTCATATTACTCTCCTAGTATATGTCAGTCGACACAGAAAAGTGAAAGTGATACACCAGAGCTACTGGTCGCCGTTCACCTTTAACCTGTGTGTGTAAAGTGGGCGGATGTGCACCCCGCCTGAGATACATTACTAATCGGGGTACACGTATATGCAAACTTTGTACAGAACTCTTTTTAAAACCAATTAACTCGTTATAAGTCTCATTATTTATTTTCACTATTATTTTGAGATTTAGAACTCATCCAGGTTTCTCTATTCTTTATCAGGGTTTAAATGGTAACGCCTGTTCATCCCTAAATTAGTAATTATTGAAAAATTATAATTCACACTCTTTACTTAAAGGCCTCAGGCTGGTATGTTTTTGATGTTTTGTTAGTTATAATTTCTTAAAACCTATCGCCAAATCTTTACTCCTATAAAAGATCATTTTTGACTGTAAACTATGAGCATTTTAGCATGAAAGTTTGAAGATTATAACTCATAAGAACTGTCCACTAGAAATCTGTCCTTAAGGTACACTGTATGTATATGAGTTAAAATAAGTAGAACGACTGTTTACATTAAGTTCAACTATTTGATAAGTTTAACCAAAATCAACGGTTTCCATGGTTACACACTACCGTACAGTAATAGTGACAGGAAGTACCTGTTTCTGTAAAGTCCTTAGCTATAGACATTGTCAAGCCATTATGCACGTCCATGAGAACGTGGGTGCCCCTCCTCACCCAGGTGTCTTTATCCTTTGTAAACTGTAGATGTGTTCTCCATAAGAGGCGGCCTTCCCTCTCCAGGTCGCCGATTTCACGGAATATGCCAGATTCAACAGTCTGAAAATATTCGCAATTGTGAGACCAGATACATGTATGACCGTTATAATAACTAGAATTCGCAATTACGAAGTGATTCTTTATAAACAGTGCAGCGATATTTTACAAGGATTTTGTGAAATCACCTGTTTAAAAGTTCAAATTAAAATATTCAGCCCATAAACAAATGAGTTGTTTACGTCACTTACTATAGTATACATATTGGAATCTGATTCCTTCAATATTTATACTCTGATACGTTTTTGCACTGTTACCCCCCCAAAAAAAATATAATAATAATAATAAAAAATAAATAAATAATAATTTTTTTAAGAGTGTTGCTTCTTCTATTTATATTTCCATGAAAACTAATAATTACAGGCACTAAGAGAAAAAATAGTTGTTTAGATTACACACTGTCAGGTAACGCGAGACAGGTGTGTCTTTTAACCACAACATGGTAACCGATGGGTCATCAAGCACCTCCCGCAGGCTGTGGTAAGGCTCTGAAATGTGCCTCACGGCCAGGAGGGCCATGAGGTTGCCGGCGTAGCTCCGTGTTAACACCAGCGTCATCAACATCCACACCGCCAACACTACTCGTTCCCACCACCAGTCATCAGACACCAAGATATCTGTTGAGAAAGCGATACCATTAAATTCACGTAATTTTGTTTTTCTTGAAATGAACGTTCTCTTATTAAAGATAAATTTCCATAAAAAATAGTTAAATCATCCAATTTATATACTGAAGTCTTCTTCGATACATAATTTCAAAAGTCACAAGTAAATTGTCTTTCATTTAATCAAGCGAACAACACATCCTTGATGTACAGATGTTAATCCAGATATGCAGTTTTTTTCTTTCAGAAAATCCTGCTCCCAGACTTTGCAGATTGTGTGGAACATTTCCGTCTTGGGTAAGCGACTTGCCCGGATTTTGTATTTATTTTATTTTTTTGCTTGCCCTAGCATTTGTTTACGGAAATATACTTGTCCTCTTTTATGAGAAAGGTAAAATTACATTTTTGAAACACTTAAATGTATTGTGTCTATCAACTCACACATCACTTGTTTTTGTTTTTTTGGACAGATTTTCAGGTCAGGTCATTGTGAGAATAAACAAACCGAAATAATAGGGTTATCAACTGTGACGACACTGAGGCTGTAGCACGCAACTGGACTTTCATAGCTGGTCGTGTGTTTGTGGTTACAGAAGAATCAGCAATCAGTCAATCTGTGACGTCAAGATATGGCAAAATGTCAAATACACACACACACACACACACACACACTCACACACTCCGTCTACACTCTTCCTAGTCCCCTTGGTCCCTGTTCACCTAGCAGCAAAGTAGGTACATGCTGTAAATCGAAAGTTGCGAATTCGTATTCAGGGACAAGTTGTTGGAGCTTCCAATAACTTGCTTAGACATAAACCATTGACTCTTCAGGCTTCTACGCCCTTGACTCTTCAGGCTTCTACGCCCTTAACTCATGAGACATAAGGCAAGCATGAACTTAGCATGCTTCCCTGTTGGGCGCTACTCGGACACACAGACAGCTTTAAACAGAATTTTAGATAAGGGTGGTTTGACAAACTTATTCTATGTAAAAAAGGGCGCTGATTAAAAAATAAGGCAGTCTTATTGACGCCACGTAAGACAAAATTGCCATTTCGGCCGCTCTTTGGCCAAATTATACCAAATTTGTATAAATTATCTTTGTTTTGATGTTTTGTTGATGTGCTGTACATCTATGTTTAAAGAATACTGAATCATATACTGTAACATAGGTTGCTTATACAATATATATATATATATATATATATATATATATATATATATATATATATATATATATATATATATATATATATATATATATATATATATATATATATATATATATATATATATATATATATATATATATTTTTTTTTTTGGGGATTAGCCCACACGGGCACAGGTCACTGACCCACATCGGGGCCTGGGGGACGAAAATGTACTACTACTACTACTACTACTACTTTATTTTTTTATTTTTTTTTTAACGTGGCCTCCAGCCTCCAGCCTCCCCCAATAGCCACACCTTCGCCACCATTTATTTACCTTAATATTAAATATCCTAATACATAAGAAGCTATCCTAACTGTGTTAAATTAGTTGAGCCGCAGATCTATGCGGCATTCAGTGACTGTAGCCTCATAGTCAATATCTGCAGCAGTTGTCGGAGTAGGGGCAGAAGCTCTCGTTCCCCTGAGGCAGAGCAAAGCCGACCGAAGGAGAGAGAAGGACAGTCGACATCTCATCCAGGCTGTAACATAACTTCTGGGCTGCTGCTTCTGTTCGGAGATCAACTCCACGAGTCTGGCGTAGAAACATCTTGCACTTGGGCCCATCCCAACAGAGGTTGTGAACACCAGAGGAGTGAAGCTGCCTTGATCAACGTTTTGAATTCTCTCCCCATATGCCCTTCTCTTGTCGTTCTCGTTCCTCCTATGTGCAACATCGAGAGCTAGATTACGGTGACAAGCGGCCATGGAATAAAAAATCCTGATGTCGAAGAAAGCTCGCTGTCCCCTCGTCCAGAATCCTCGAGCACTGACGTCCACACGGGCTTCGTTAGATGTGTTTGAAGTCCTGTGTTGGAGGATCTCGCCATCCAATGGAAGGAGGGTCGGTTCTACCATGACGTCCCGGCAGATTTCCTTCAACATATTTGCTGTGAGATCCCTTACCTCGTCATGCCTCATGCATATGGAGCCCCCCTTCTTGCAGACCATGGCGTGATCGCCATCATAGGAAGAGCCACACATACATTGGGAGGGCAAACCATCTACTGGCCAACCGTACCTTAGAGCAATGGCATCTGTAAATTCTTGTTTGTTAAGACTGAAACCATTTGCCCTTATCGATAACGTAGTTAACCAGTTCGAGGCACCCACCTCCTGCGCTATAGCTACTTTTCTTTTCAAATTTTCTGGAACCTGCCGCAATAGTTGCTGCAACATATCATTTTGGCAGTGCTGTCGATCTGTCGTAATGGACCTACGAATCTTATTTACTTCTCTGGTATCCACTTCCCTGTTGCATTCTGGGCTATTATGTGGTCCGTGAGGGCTGCCGTGAGCTTAAGTGAATTTTGATGTTCAGTGGCAGCAATCTCCGCTGGATTAGTTAGTCCCATCCCTCCCAGTGTTGGTGGAAGTGCAAGAAGTGCTCTTTCTGCTGGGGTTAAGTCAGGGTGTTTCACTAGTTTGGGAATGAACTTGACACTGATAGCTTCTTCCAGAGGGTGGAGGAGGGGTCCGATCTCAGGGATGGTACGCATCAGGTAGTTCCAGCGATGCTTGACTCCATGGGTGAATGCTGCAAAGGCCGCATGTGGCTCTGTGTTAGCAATCTCAGACAGAGCTTGGATTTCACTCACCCACTCATTCACCTTTCCCGCTACGTACTCGGTCTTGAAGTCCGTAGTGCAAATTACTGCGCCTAGATGTCTTTGGCCGTCCTTAGTTATTTTGACCTCACTTCCGCCAAAAACCTCCAATGCCCGTTCATAACTACTACTACTACTACTACTACTACTACTACTACTACTACTACAGCCTCCCCCAATAGCCACACCTTCGCCACCATTTATTTACCTTAATATTAAATATCCTAATACATAAGAAGCTATCCTGTCTGTGTTAAATTAGTTGAGCCGCAGATCTATGCGGCATTCAGTGACTGTAGCCTCATAGTCAATATCTGCAGCAGTTGTCGGAGTAGGGGCAGAAGCTCTCGTTCCCCTGAGGCAGAGCAAAGCCGACCGAAGGAGAGAGAAGGACAGTCGACATCTCATCCAGGCTGTAACATAACTTCTGGGCTGCTGCTTCTGTTCGGAGATCAGCTCCGCGAGTCTGGCGTAGAAACATCTTGCACTTGGGCCCATCCCACCAGAGGTTGTGAACACTAGAGGAGTGAAGCTGCCTTGATCAACATTTTGTATTCTCTCCCCATATGCCCTTCTCTTGTCGTTCTCGTTCCTCCTATGCGCAGCATCGAGAGCTAGGTTACGGTGACAAACGGCCATGGGATCAAAAATCCTGATGTCGAAGAAAGCTCGCTGTCCCCGCGTCCAGAATCCTCGAGCACTGACGTCCACACGGGCTTCGTTAGAAGTGTTTGAAGTCCTATGTTGGAAGATCTCGCCATCCAGTGGAAGGAGGGTCGGTTCTACCATGACGTTCCGGCAGATTTCCTTCAACATATTTGCTGTGAGATCCCTTACCTCGTCATGCCTCATGCATATGAAGCCCCCCTTCTTGCAGATCCATGGCGTGATCGCCATCATAGGAAAAGCCACACACGCATTGGGAGGGCAAACCATCTACTGGCCAACCGTACCTTAGAGCAATGGCGTCTGTAAATTCTTGTTTGTTAAGGCTGAAACCATTTGCCCTTATCGGTAACGTAGTTAACCAGTTCGAGGCGCCCACCTCCTGCGCTATAGCTACTTTTTTTGTCAAATTTTCTGGAACCTGCAGCAATAGTTGCTGCAACACGTCATTTTGGCAGTGCTGCCGATCTGTTGTAATGGACCTACGGATCGTATTAACTTCGCTGGTGTCCACTTCCTCTGTTGCATTCTGGGCTATTATGTGGTCAGTGAGGGCTGCCGTGAGCTTAAGTGAATTTTGATGTTCAGAGTCAGCAATCTCCTCTGGATTAGTTAGTCCCATCCCTCCCAGTCTTGGCGGAAGTGCAAGAAGTGTTCTTTCTGCTCGGGTTAAGTCAGGATGTTTCACTAGTTTGGGAATGAACTTGACACTGATTGCTTCTTCCAAAGGGTGGAGGAGGGGTCCGATCTCAGGGATGGTACGCATCAGGTAGTTCCAACGATGCTTGACTCCATGGGTGAATGCTGCAAAGGCCGCATGTGGCTCTGTGTTAGCAATCTCCGATAGAGCTTGGATTTCGCTAACCCACTCATTCACCTTTCCCGCTACGTACTGGGTCTTGAAGCCCGTAGTGCCAATTACTGCGCCTAAATGTCTTTGGCCGTCCTTAGTTATTTTGACCTCACTTTCGCCGAAAACCTCTAAAGCCCGATCATAATGATCTGGCTTCACGATGAGGAAGGATTTACTGGCGTTTGGGTGGTACCCTATTTGTGGACCTCGTGATGTTACCAGGTCCCACCACTTTTTGATGTCCTCCACTTTTCCTGCTCCTGTGAGGTCATCAGCATATGCCACTTGTTTGACCCCAGTTGTTTCGAACTTTATTTCTTGTTGGAGCACTGATAGGCCTAATGCATACATTGCCATTGCAACGGGGTCTCCCTGTGTTGTTCCCTCAGTCGACTGTAGGATGGTATCACCTCGTAGAGCCTTGTTGTTTACTATGTAGAGGTCTGATGGATTCCTATACGAATTTTCAACATACATCGCAAAGCTAGGACACTTGATCTTGATGTTGTGCAGTGCAGCCTTGCGGTTAAGTATGTTGAATGCGTTTGAAGCATCCACCAGGAGAACGGCCTCGCAATCACGCTGCTCAAATATCAATCTCATGGCGTGAATGGCCGCCTCCCCACCAGCCTGGTGGCCAGCACACACTTGTAGGTTCCCTGCTGCTGCCCTGA